TAAAGGAATTTGAGTGCTTAGCGAAAGCTCTGATAAAAGCACTGATAACACTTAATCAGTGTTTAAATACATTGAATGTACTTCATAAATCCACTTCCCTATTTCTAGCAATCAGAAATATTACACCACAGCCCTACGGGCCACACTTACAGACGCATTGGACCATATCTGTGTCTGATGGCTGATATTAACAAAGATCAATGTGAAATCTGTCTATTTGCTGTTTGTTCTTTTCATTATTTGAATGTATTCAGCCAGCTTCATAATGGAACCAAACAAAAGAAAACAAAGTATATTATTGAAAACAAAAACTTGTAATCACACATGTTGTATGTTAATTTTGGACTTGCATTTCCCCACACAAAATAAAGACAGATTTGGTGATATATACAAATAATAAAGCAAATAACGAATAACAATAACAGAAATATTGAACTAATAGACTCAGATTTTTAACTATAACTGTTAAAACATTGTGTCACTGGGGAAAGAGATACTCCAGAGGCACTTGTGAATGACTATAGGCAGTTGCAATATACTGTCGACAGACAGTCAAGTCAACAGCATTATTCTAAAGTAAAATCGTAGTTTTGAGATTGATTGAGCACTGTGGTAGGTGTGTGCAGAAATAAGGACTCTAACAGACTGGGACTTTTTGAACATCAAACCTTTTACAGGTTTAAAATGTAATATATACAACCTAAAACATATGCACACAGCAGGTTTAAAACAACAACACAACATCCTCACTGCCTGCCTGTGTCAAAATTGCAGCAGCCACAGTATAAAGATCCTATATATCACCTAATATAGAGGTAGCAACTGGAATTCAAAAATAGCGTGTCTGAAACTGGATGATAATGTCTTGGTCAATGACACTGTGTTCTTATTAAAGGGGAACTCTTGCTGAGAACTATTGCATCAGAAAAAATTTTGTCTTTTGTGACTCAAGAAGGAAGTCTATTGAAGTGATGTCACTGTCAGGGTCACTGGGGCTACAATTATGGAAATGAAAAATAAGCTAGAGGCGTTGAGTTAGAAAGAAAGGCTAGCGAGAATAGATTAGAGACCTTTCCATATAAAGACATTTGGGTTGATGCTAGCACTGCAACTCCGACATGTATAAATCTACAGTATTTCAACACCTGGGAGAGCTCAGACACCTATGAGATATTACTGAAAGATTCTGGAGATGGGTAGCAGGGTTGCATGGCACAGTACATTTCACACAAATACTAATTAACTTGAGCTTGAAGTGATAGGTGTAACATCTGCTTTCAAATGCTAATGGTTAGTGCTTAAATAAAAAGGATCTCTACATAAACTGCTATAACTGCAATCCCTACCATTGAAAAACATAGGCCTTACACAACAAACAAATTTCCTGAAGTTGGATTGCAAAAGCGTTACTAATGTTTCAGTATTACGTGTTGCTCTGTGAGTACAGATAAGGATACGGTAACATTTTTAAGTTTGTCTTTAAACATTACTCACATGCCCAAATTATCACGTATTAAAGCTGAACACAAATGCTAACCCTGGACAAGCAGGACAAGCAGGTAAGGTGAAAGAAAGACTATTATTGTGAATAACAGGAATGGGGAGATGGGGGAAGGAATCTAGGAGGAGGCTTGGCAGGAGGGAATCCCAGGGATAAGAGCTGGCTGGTGGGCTTGGAAGATGGTGGGACAGGCAGGCAGGTAATTCTGGAGACGGGGCGAACAGGTGTAAGATAAACTACAAATAAACCACTAAACTGGCAGATGAAATAAACTAGCATGAGGGCTGGAAGCGTGCCATATTAACTAACCGTGAATCGTACTATGATCCAGTGGTGATCGTTGGCCGTTGAAAGTTCTCATAGGGACTGGTTATTGATTGATAGCACGCAGGTGCTCAGCGAGAGAAGAGACAGGAACCAGTAGAGTGAAGAAACCACACCCATGCCAGTACACACAAACAAGAAATCATGAGATCACACGACAATCCACCGCGCCAGGCTTCAATGTATGTGTAACAGGCCCCGGATGTGAGGTCTGTAGGCAGATTATTATTTAGAGAGAACAGAGAAATATTGAGACAGGCAACTGGTAACGCACTTCCTTTCTTGCTTCTGTCATACTTTATTTATACACATATATATTTTAAACACAATCTCCACTCCACCAATTTTCACATCGCATAATGCCAAACTAACATCACAAAAAAAATATTTTTTTGTTTAATTGTTATTCTTCATGTACAAATGAAAGAAATTACATTTTTCTCCAAACTTCATTGGGCTCCTGCTGACAGTTTTTATAACTGTTTAGGTAGTTGCAAATAGGTTTCCAACTAGACTGGCTGATAGGAATCTAATCTGTGTTTAGCATAAAGGAAAATGACATAGCAAGAGTTAGCATTTACACTTATTTACACAAACTTAAAAGTAATGATATACATTTTACAAACGATCTTGCGGAACACATTCTTAACACAACAATATTTTACAGGAGCCTAATCAACTGAATACAATCCTAAGCCTTAAAACAAGATGTGAGAAAATAAAGTTCAACCAACAAACAGTTAGACAGAGCCGGCGGAGGTGACATACTGCAACTTTATCTGAGCTTATTTCGGTTCGTCGATTGCAGAAAACAATAGTGGCTCGCCTGGTCATACACGATTTCGTATTACAGATAAACAGTGCACTAAAATATGTTTCTGAAAGCATTTGAGGTAAGAAATAGGCAACACAGTAACAGAACTTGCTTGCTTCATATTTGATCAGCACTGCCTAGTTTGACAGTTTGATCTGAGTTTGGTGTGTTGAGCTGGACAGACTCACTGAGAATTACTTGTCAATCGAGGTCCAACTCCCTAAAGCATACCCTGTGTAATCATATTTTACTAAATTGCAATTGGACCATCATTTACTAAATGAACATCATGCTGTATGGAAGAAGACTGAAACTAGAGATTGAGACCATAAACTCATTAGGAAACTGTTTACTGAGCTCATAAATTAAGTGAGAACTCGGGTGATTTCTCCATTAGAGTGCATGGTGCCTGCTGGCCTTTCTATAGAAAGCAGTTTTAAGACACGTCTGCGTTGTTTTCACTCACACACCCAGATGCTCTGTCCATTATATATACACAGTATAAACAACAATGGCTGCTGCTGTGTATAGTGTGTTATATCAAATTTCTTGTTTAAAAGAAGAGCAAAGAGTGGCACTGAAGGCTTTTCTCAATGGAAAATACGTTTTTCGCTCCACTCCTGCCTGGCTTCAGTAAGGTTTGACTATGTTTGTTAGGTTAATTGATCTGATTGGTTAAAGTCTGCTCATTATAGACAGTGAGAAACAAATGGTTCATCCAATCACTTTCCAAGTATTTTTTTAAAGTGTGGTTCTGTGTAACAAACCATGTGGCACAGTCAGGTTCATAGTAATGATTTTGGTGAACCCCTCACTTTACCTCTAGTGCCATCATGAGGTAGAGCTTTGTACCTTTGAGTGAAATGTCTCCACAAATAGATGATTACCATGACATTTTAAACAGAAAATAATTTTCTTTGTTGAATTTCCTCACTAACGTGACTGTCACTTTGGAAGATACACACTCAGAGCTCTGGAGCATCATATTAACTTTAGCTGAACTTTAGAATGCACCATTGCACAGAACAAGGATTTTGACCCCCATTACTTCCAAAGGAATCACAATAGAAAGGGCTCTCTTTGCCTGGACGGAGGACTGCAGGCAATAGCTCCTTCAGTTTACATCTCTGCACACTAATGTTATAAGATAGGTCTATCCTTTACTGACCACTACTAGGGATTATTTTCATAGTCTCTGAATTCATGTGTTATTTTCACCAAGAGTGCAAAAAGCCAGAAAACCAGCGACTGACTATGCAGTGTGGTCACCACTCACAGTGAGGCAATTGTTCAGTTCAGGTCATGTCCTTGATGAATGAAGAATGAAATGAATAAGCATCATAAAACTGTATAAACCAAAGTTTAATACCAGGTTTTACATGAATGAAGCAGGGTTCTATCTGACATAAAACTGATCCAACCCATGTTTACTCCATGTATACACACAATAGACTGTCACCGGGCGGAACCGAGACGCAGTTTTTGTATAACTAGAGATAATTTATTACGCCAGTGAGTGTTCAGTGTTTATGCATTTTGTGTACTGACCCACGAGGGCTTTTAGTACCAACAATATGATTTATTACCATCAAACTATAAAAATATAGCATTTGTATTTACTGCGTGCTTCTTGCTTTTACAAAGAAAAACCAAGAGTGTTAATAGTAAGAAAACTGCATTAACTGATGTTGAATCACTATTATGTTATACCAAAGAAAGCAAACCTGACACTTTATTTATATACAGCTGTTACTCCACTATGCTCCACCTACTGAGCAACACACTGATCCGTGTCCTGAATTGTCCCGGTCTGCCGCTGAGATAGTGTGCACATTGGCCTTATTGTCTTTTGACAGTCTCTGCTGTGACTCCAAGCATGTGTCCAGTGGGAGAGGGACAGAGGGGCAGAGGGGCAGGGGAAGGAGCATCCATGCTGCTGCGGATGAAGCTCAATTTCATTATTTGGCAAACTTTGTGAAACTTTATGATGTAGTGACAACTGACTGCTGTGGAAATTATCATATGGCTTAAATACTGTGAGTCAAACACAACACCGGGTGAGTCAAACAGCTGATTCATTTTGCCAAAAAAGGAAGAACCGGCTACGGTAGGAAGCTTACTGTCAGAAAATGTATTGTCATCTATTTGTCTGAATTACTGCTGATAAATCCTGTAAGAAAGTGTGGAAGTATGTCATGAAGCTTAATGTGGGAGACTGCAAGCTAAACTAAGACTACAACACTCTGACTGGTATTCTTCCTGCATTCTTTGAAAGAAGCAGGGGCGTGTTCAGGCTGGTTGTGAGCGCGTAGTGAATTTGTTGTCAATGAGGAAGTGGCTGTGACAGGTCCAGAAGGGCCGGCGAAGGTGTGGCCTCGAGGCAACAACACAGCATGCAGGTAGACAGCATAAAGCTTGATCGGAGTACCCATATACTCTGTTACAGTGACTGTCTGCACTTGGACAATGACACCAACACTCCTATTGTGGGTCCTCATCCTAAATGCCTCGCTCAAGCCCTCAGGTAAGTCACTGGATACTGTTACTTCCACTCAGCGCAGTGGCTAATTAATAACTAAAGCCTAGCTTTATACAAAGCACATTCACTTGTGGGTTTCTGTTCCTGAGCATGGAGTAAAAAGTGTTCTAAAACACCTGACCCAAATATGATGTGATATATTATATAATGTGTATGTTCTTTAAAGAATGAAAGGCAGTGTTTATGTTACTTCTATCAGTGTCAGGACAATGAATGATTCTGTCTCCACCTAGAAATATGTTTGATCTACCTTTAGCTGTGTTTACCTTGTCTACATTAGTGATAATGGGACATTTTGTGATACAAATGCATTTGATTGTGCAGTATATGATTAGAAATGAAATGCTCAGGCAGAGTGACTGTGAGTATTTATACTGCCTGGTGTAATATGTTGCCTAGGAATGACACCCAGTTGCTGTTGTTACATTGTACACTTTATACCATTTAGTAATACTTCATAAGCCAACGAAATGAGCGGGGCTTAAAAGGCATTGCTGATGTTGTGACACACTGTCGAAACTGGACTTTTGATCACAACAATTCAGTCTAGTTTCAGTGGTTACCAGAGCAGGTTTGCTCATTTCAGTTTTTTTTTTTATATATAATATTGGGGTATTTGTCAGGGGCAACATTTAAGTTCAGAATAGTTATTACAATACAAACACAGTACTTGATTCACAGTCATGTAGACATCCTTGTCTCAACACTAATGCCTCCTCCTGCCAAATAGACTTTAGACTAAGACGTTTCCTGCATATTTTATTTCATTTTAAGTAGTTTGAATTTCTTTATTTTTTTAAAGTCTAGTTTTTAATTTTATTTCAATTGACTAAAATGTTTTTTTACACCAGTGTTTAGTTTTTAGCTGAGTTTTAGTTAACTGTAACCTTGCAACAAAGTATCACCACCCTCTCGGGTGCTACTGCGTACCTGGCAAGCAGGTCACCATGACTCAGAATGACTTAGTCATTTCCTTTATAAGCTGATTTGGCTAATTGGGAAGTGCCACCTTTGGTTAAAAAAGTTTATTCACGTTGGTAAGACGACATCCGCTAAAAAGATGACATGTAAGATGTCAGCAATCAAATTCAGAGAGAACATTTAAAAAAAAAAAAAAGGANNGCAGAGGACAGCGAACACCATTAAAATGACAAAGACAGTCTGGTCACATGGTTTAGGTTTGGTTTTAAGTGGGAGGTACACAAAAATACAGACTTACTTTGAAATCAGTCACAGTCACATTTAAAGCAGTCTTGCACATAAGATATTATGATGTAATTGTTAATTTCCATAATAATGATAGTATAACAAAAAATAAAACTAGGAAAAACAGAAATTCTCTGTTAGCCTTTGCTGTATTGTTAATGTGATTTAAAATCATGTAGTTTCATTGATAGAGATGACAGATAATGTCGTGTGTCCATCTTTACCACAAGGAGCTCTGTGCTTAAACGCCTTCTCTTTGGTTTAAGTAAAAGTACAGACTCATTATTTCTTTATCGGAGAAACACGCAGAAGAGGAGGCAGTGTTTTTTCACCCCTAAATAGTGGGTGCCGATATTCCCTTCAGGCTGCTTACAACCTTCACCCAAAAGATAGGGCAGTAGAAAACCCAAAGAACTCACTCTGCTCCGTGCAGAACCTCGCCTGAAAGGTGACTCAGACGAATACCAATAATCTTATCAACACAGATCTTCTCTCTATGGTGACAGGACAGTAAGAGAACAATGACCAAATAGATTGTAGTCTAATAATCAACTCGACAGAAATACGAGTTGAAATGCAGGGGGGGNNGGGGGGGGGGGGGGGGGTCATCATAAATATGGTGTTTAACTTGATTAGCATGATACAAAAACATACACTTTTTCCTTCTGACAAAGCCTTCTGTGTTCCTGCTGATAAAGGTTATCATAGGATCCCTTCACTGATAATTAGTTGCCATGACAGAGCCTCAGGTATTGTGTTGATACTCTATACACTTCATATTAATGTGTCATGGGTTGTTAAACAGAGCCAATAGAAAATCCTATAATTACTGTACAGGTTTGTTGCCCAAGTGTCTGGGCTGCAGCCTCCACAGAGCCTGTAGGCAGTTCACTTGCAATTTAGCACTAATCTTAAGCCTGATTTTATCTCTAATCTTGTGAAACGTCATATATAATTATTAATTATTTGACTGCTAACTTTCATCTAAAGAACCCAGTCAGTAAAGCAGTCATACAGCATACGTTTTTTGTCATTTTTTAAAAAGTAGGCTTATATCATTCATCAAAAACATTGTTTTTCTGTATTTTCTGTGTAGGCCAGGGGCTAAAGCAGAGTTTCTCAACCCTAGGGTCAGGGCCCTTGTGGAATCATTCACTATACAGATGGGGTCTGTAATGTCTCTAAATAAATGGCAGACTAGAAGCCAAAAGGACAACACAAACTTTATTTAACAAGGCATACAGGGTTTAAAACCAGGAGACCAGCAGCCAAGGCAAATAAATCCTATGAGAGGGAGTTATCCAGCGGTCAGTGTGATCCTTGATAATATGGTTATAAATGTCATGTGTGAACGTGTCCTTTTTACACTTCGTTTTTTGTACAAATTAAAGTGTTAGGGTTAACCCATAAAGAGCTTTTTAAAACATTAAAATTGGATGTCCGGAGCAAAATTATATGGTATGGTTTTATGGTCACCACCATGTCACTGCCCTAAAGACTTTGGATTGGTTCTGTAATGCAGTTTTTTTTTAAAACTTTTTGAAATAGTTTCCAACCAGTTTTAGCAACAAAAGCTGAGAGATAGCATTTAGAGTCTGGCTTGGGAGTCTACTAAAAAGGAAACCACATATCGAGAAGTTGGGAGCCAATGTCTTGCTTCCTGTTTTGACACTGTCACTGTTGGTTTCTGTGTGAAATTCCTGTTTTAACCTTTATTACATGGTTCTTCTAACAGTGATCACAGATGTTTTCAACTTAACCCAGCACTCCTTTTAACCCAAACTATGATTGGAAGGCAATGTCAAACTATGTACTTTTTCATTTAATGTGGAAGACTTAGAAAAGCATGCAGCATGTCTACCTTAGTTAGACTGGAAGCATGGGGTTCACTTCCAGACTAGTTAAGTTGACTATTGACTCTTCTTCTTCTTATGGACCCTTTAACATCAAACAAGCATATTCTTTTTTATCAAAGTGATATGATGAACTATGCTGTGTCCACAGAAAGCCATGGTCACGAGTTTGAGGAGGTGAAGGACTATGAGGTGGTTCGACCTGTCAAACTTCACACAGTTAGAAAAAGACATGCAGAGGTAAATTTTTCTGTTTTTCAAATTTGATCACAGAGATACATGTATATCATGTGGTTGTGACATGTGTGTGGGGAAACAAAAGAAAAATAAATTCATGAAACCATAATTTCACATCCTTCATTTTTGCAGAATCACAGGCCAGAGGCTATTAAGTATGCAATGACGGTGGGAGGAAAAAACATTGAAATGCAGCTAGAAAGAAATAAGTAAGTTCTTACTTCCCTAAAAGCATTTCTCAATGAAGTATAAGGAACAAAAAGACAACAAGTGATATAGCCAACTTCCAGTATTCCAGTATTAAGAATTTCTTATTATTTTTGCCATTAAACACACTGAAAGCCCTGTTATTTATTTTGATCAATGCAAATTGTTACAGCCTGATTTCCCTATATTATACACCTCTCATGTGACACATTGCAATATATATATATTACTATATATATATTATTATTATATTAATATATATATTATTACAATAATATTACAATACAAAAAGTGATTTCACAGAGTATGGCAGGATTTATAATTTGTTTTTTAAATCTCTTTTCATCATCAGTGAATTACTCACTAAAGATTACACTGAGACATACTACCAAGAGGATGGGACACAAGTCACCACAAGCCCAACCAACGTTGTAAGTGTTTGAGGGAGAATTTCCGTTGTATGGTTTTAACCAAATTCCATTTTGTTTTTTGATTGTTCAACAATTATATGAGATAGTAAAGACAGTTGTTTTATTTTATCTGATCACCCTCATTTCTTTATCAGGATCACTGCTACTATCATGGGAGGATTGTGAATGACAACAAATCATCTGTTAGCATCAGCACTTGTGATGGACTCAGGTGAGTTCTCAGATCATCCTCTCTTTAACCTCTCTCACTAAAAAACTGTCCTTAAATCATCCAAAAACACAACACTCCCTTATGGTATCATAATAATGCCTATTCACATTACAAATAGCTCCATAGCTGGGGGAACTGGAAGTCCAGTAATAATGCATTTGTCAGTACAAGCAGCCCCCAAGTAGTCTCATAATCCATAGTTAATATCATTTCATTGGAGACACTTTAAAATACAAACTGTGATATCTGAAGTTATCTAAACTAGTAGCCTAGCTGATATTAATAATTAAGATTTACAATGCTAGGCTACTGTTACAAGGTTCAATAAGCTAACTAACAAGCCTACTGTTGGCCTCATTTCATGGACAAATATACAAATGAGACAAAAACCTTTGTATTCTTGTTTTAAAGGAAAAGTGTGTAGGATTTAGTAGCATCTAGCAGTGAAGTTGCAACTAACTGAACATCACTTGTGGCTGTGAAGTGTGTTAGAGAAGCTAAGGTTGCAGCAAAACTTGCAAAAAAATCCAAAAGGCCATTCTGTCCATTCTGGGCTACTGTAGAACATGGCGGTTCCAACATGGCGGACTCTGTAAAGAGGGACCGGCTGCGTCTGTAGATAAAAACAGCTCACTTTAAGTACTTAAATTTAATTTAATTTCTACCAATAGATCATCCTAAATGTTACACACTGGACCTTTAAGTGCAGTATTTGTCATGTATTGTATGTTTGTCATACCTGCCCTCCTCTCAAAGAAAGTGTTTTGGCTCTTGTAACTGAGGTGTGACTAAACCAATAGATTTATTTCTGCCTCAAAACACTATCAAGCAAGCAAAAGACTAAATTGCGTGATCTCGGTTTAGGGGTTACTTCAGAACATCTGCCCAGAGGTACCTGATTGAGCCCCTGTCTGGTGGCGATGAGGGGGATCATGCAGTGATGACTTTTAATGAGACAAACTCCACACCAGCAGTGTGCGGTGTCACCAACACCAGCTGGAGTGATGACTTTGAACCTCCAACAAGCCGAAGCCGCTCCAGATCAGCGGTAAGACCGTTGCTGTCATAATACCCGGCACCTTTAGTTTTTAAGTCTACCAGATTTTAAATGTGGCTTTGTTTGAAGAAAAAAATCCCAACATATTGCATAATTCAGTCTATTAATCACATGGTCTATGCACACAAATTGGGGCATTTTAAAGCTTATAATGCCTTCATCTGCTTTATTCTTTTGTCCTTCAGGGTATGTCTATTGTCCAGCAACAGAAATATATTGAGCTCTTCCTTGTTGCTGATAATCGTGAGGTAAGACATACACATGGAACATTTTCTGCCTAATTTGGTGCACTTTTTGGTGACATGACCAGACTTGCTGACATTGGTAATATGTGTCATGCAGGAAGTTATTTTGATAAGAATCACTTACAGCATAGTTATTTTGGTCAAAGTCAATGTATAATCACAAATCAGGTGGGTACAGTAGTTTAGTGCTGTTAAGAAATTGGTTGTGTCTTTACTCTAACATGACGACTTGCTGTTTCAGTACGTGAAGATGAAGCGAGATCAGACGGAACTGAGAAAGAGGATATTTGAGATTGTCAACTTTGTCAACATGGTGAGTCAGTGGTTTTGCTATTCCCAGACACAAATGACGCATAGAAACTGTAAGACATTTAGGTTTGAGTGTTGTGACGATTTTCATGAGTTTCAGCCATACAGTCCCCTTTCTTGTAATGTCTGTATTTGCAGTAATAACCCAAAAAGTTTCCAGATAATTAGGTCTGCATTTCAGAATAAAATGATCAGTGTCTATGTGACCGGTCTCATGGGTGGTTACTGGTGTTCCTTTCAGGCATACAAGCCGCTGAGGACCTTCATTGCTCTGGTGGGATTGGAGATCTGGTCCAATGGTGACTTGATCTCTGTGACCCCGCCGGCTGGGGCCAATCTGGACGCTTTCATGAAGTGGAGAAACTCTGTGCTGGTGAAAAGGACAAAGCATGACAACGCACATCTCATCAGGTCTGACATCCTGTATAAATAGATCTTGGCCAAATATCAAATTATGTAAGGTCATTCAAATGATTAAAGGTCCCCTCCAGACTCAGTATCACAACATAATCAAATAGTCTGCTTTGAACAGTATTGTCTGTCTGTGTGTCTTTTTTCTGCAAACCAATATAACTTCCACATTAAAATCCTTAAAAAAGGCATTTACTCTTTCTAGCTCAATAGACCACAATTAAGTTCCGAACTATTTTTGATGTCACAAATCATGCTCGAAAGGCATGCCACTTAAAGCTGTAATAAGCAACTTTTATCCTTAACCTGACAGCAGTACAAAGACAGATAATGAGTGAAGAAACCCAGGTTCCTCTGGCTTTCCTTGTGCTTCTAATGATATTTATGAATCCCAGCTGAATGAAAACAACCAATCACAGCCAAGAAAGTTGATTGTTGAGTCTCATTCCCAGGTTGTCAAATACCAGATTTTATTCTCCACTTGATGAATGAATGTGAAAACATCCTTCAAGATCAGTGTTTCTCAACTCTCTGTGATTACCACCTCAAAATTATTAGGCTCTCCAAGTATCACTATAATGACCAATGTCAAAATACAGTAGTGTAGGCCGACCCTATTCAGCTACAACTTCTTTGTTTATTCTTAATAATAAAACAAAATGGGTTCAAGAACCAGAGCTAGTTTGGTTGAAAGGGGATAGTCTGAACCATAAATTTTACCTCGTACTATTGTGCAATTACATTTTAGCTAATAACTAATTATGGATCTATGCTTGCGCTACGTGCATGAATCTCATAGTATTTTCTATCAAGATTGTGATTTTTTGGGGGTATTATATGTTTTTTGGATCAATTAATTTCATTTTCTAAAAATATTTAAAAGATTCCTCCATGTACCTCTAGAGGCAACCCAAGTACAAGGACTGCACATACATCATTCTGCACAGTGAACCGCAAACATCCAACTGTAGGAACAAGAAGATTTTTGAGTAGAGGGGGACTTTAATTAAAATCTCTCTTTTAGACTGTAACATGTGGAATCTCACTTATCTCACTCGTCATGTTTTGTTTCACAAGTTTAAGTTGGTGCATCGGTTCTTGATGTATTATATGTGAACTTTTTTCACATCATGCTTGTGTAGCTACTTTGTATGTGTATGATTTACAATTCAAATTTAAGGAGGATACAGAGGTTCCTGTATAGTCACACAAAGATTTTTTTATTTTGCCCTTTCTTTGTCTTTGAATATCAGTTCCAGGAAGTAACAGCAGCACTTAAACACCGGCCCACGTAACTCACATCAAGAGGAAGAGGTGTTTGAGCTACATGCCTCAACAAGCTGAACAAATATGTACTTGAATTTTATTTTTGGCTCACCAGAGCTGTTAAGCTTAATTGTCCAAAACCCGTTGATGCCACAACTGTCCCCCCCACAACAAACAGCCAAACAAAACATTTTGGGACATATGCTTTACAATGTGTATTCAAATAATGCCTTAGTGAAACTGGCTGTTTACTGTCCATGGAATCAAGACAAAATGAAGAAAATAACCAATTAAATGAAAGGCACGGAATTGCTGATGCCATTCAGCCAAAGAGAGAAGTTTTTTTATTTATTTCAAAGAGTGGACATCTGTGTTTGGAGTACAAATGAAGAGCTGGGTGGATGGATAACCAGATATGGTTTTGTCACAATTTATGAATAAGTGTTCCTCATATTGTCATTCCTTGTCTTTCAGTGGTATTGACTTTGAGGGAGCAACTGTGGGGCTGGCCTTCATTGGGACTCTTTGCTCAGGTCACTCTGTTGGAGTAATACAGGTATGGTGTTCCTGTAATACAGGAATAACTTCCTATCATCTGTTATTTGGTTACCGTATCTTGTAGATAGAGGCCACTCCTGGCCTGGTTGTAATGTGAGCAACCATGGGATTTATATTTACCACACTAACGGCATGGCTCCATGGCAATGTCAGTTTAACAGTGGGTCCACCACGTTGGTCCAGAGCCAAACATCTAATCTATTAGATGGTTGCAATAAAATCTTGGACAGATATTCATGGTCCCCAGCAGATGTATCCGAATTATGTTGGTGATCCCCTTACACTTCCTCCTGCACCACCAGCAGGACAATGTTTCCAATTAGCCAGTGAAATATTTTTAAAATCAGCTAGGAGGGTATACATGGTAAACAATACCTTCGAAACATGAGCATGTTAGCACTGTTAGCATTTAGCTCAAAGCAACACTGTACCTAAGTACAGCATCACAAAGCCAATAGCATAGACTTGTTAGTCTAAGTAATGTTAGAGGCAGCCAAAATCTCAATAAATGTTTTGCCAACCAAGTGCCCTGTTAATTAATAAATAATCCAAATCCCTTTCTTTTAAAGAGGAAGTGCAACTTAATTTTCACATGATGACTCTGACACTCTTCCTCTGTAGTGCAGCACACGTCTAGACTTAATGGGAATAGAGGAACTTTCTCATTTCATACAAACAGGCTAAAAATGACAGTGGTCAGAAAATCAAGAAAGAGGAAACAGAAGGGAAACATTGTTTTATCATGAGTATATCATGAGAACATGCAAACCTTGGTGCATGGCTACTTTAAATGAAAAGTGACAAAATGTGAAGATTTCCACTCATGTAACTGATATTTTGTTATCTCTCAGGATCACAATGACCGGGCCATTGCAGTGGGGGCGACACTGGCTCACGAGATGGGCCATAACCTGGGTATGAACCACGATGACTCGAGTGCCTGTGCTTGTTCGGGGGATAGCTGCATCATGGCTGCAGCACTCAGGTAAGACAGGTTGTTAAAAAGGTTCAATCGTAAGGTGTATTTATAAAAGTACAAGTTTTACCTAAGTGTACAAAGAAAATCATGCCACCTACAGGCTACCAAATTTGCTGGGGGGTCTTGGGGTGATTGATTATTGAATAGCCTGTTTTCACCTAAAAACATTTGTTTCCACTCCATGCAATTGCTGACACTTTTTTTTAGCTAATTAGTATTTATTTCCACAATTACAGTTCAAGTCGAGCATCGACTTCTTCTGGGGACAAACCACATGCAGAACTAGTACACTATAATAATAGAGCCAGTGGTTCTAATAATGGCAATTTGTTAAGTTTAGTGAGCAGTGAGTGGTTGCCTAAGATCTTATTATTTAATATTTTTTATTTATATTTTTACATGAGAAGAAGTTGTATCAAGCCTTTTATGTCTCCAGAGGCAGTGGTGTGAAATCTGATTAAGTGCCTCAAGTGTCAACAGTTGAGTTGCATGATGGGTAATATATGCACCAGATTGAAGAATGTGTGTGGATTTGCTAAAAAGCTAACTGAAGTACGAGCAGACAAGGCATCACTGCATTAAACAAAAACTTTACTTGTCAATTTAAGTTCAAATAATGTGACTTTGGAGCTAACAAGGGAAACGTGTTTATTTCCTCAGCTGGAACATCCCTCGGACTTTCAGCAGCTGCAGCAGCAACAGCTACGAGAGATACCTGACAAGCCGCAACCCCAGCTGCCTGCTGGATAAACCAGACTACGAGTCTCTGGTGGCTCTTTCAGTCTGCGGGAACGGTTTCGTGGAGAAAGGAGAGCAGTGCGACTGCGGCACTGTGGAGGTACGTTAACATGAACAAACACTCATCTGAGACTGATTTGACTTTGCAATATTCAACTCATTCCTCAGGAGGAAACCTACTCTCTAACTCCACCGCTCTCTATTAGGTCGGAGTGCAGAGGAGTACCCAGGAGGGCCCAGGTTGATTGACATACATAGAGAACGGTTATATTTATTTAGGAGTATATGGAAAATAGAGGGAATTGGTGTTGGAAATTGAATTTAGTCAGCTTGTATGGCCTTGCCTTTAAAATAAAATAATGTGATTTACATATTATTGACTTATTGAAAGTAACAGGATCATAAAGACTTTAGTGTTTTACCAGCACTGTTATTCAGCTTTTCATTCTTTTCAAGACTTTTTGATGATGGAGATACAGACGTTTTCTGTGGTATAAAATACAGATCCAATGCAGATGATACCACACATCTTACACTGTCAATATGAAATGCTCTGAAAGCATACTGGGTAGCGTGTATGCACTGCACTGATTTTAAAACTGTGTCTACGTGTGCGCACATCTATGACGAGTGTTTGCCTCAGGGTCATTGTTTTCTGCGAAGACTCAGCAGCTCGTTCTCTCTGTCTGATCTTGAGTCTCTTAGGTTGTTTTTAGGCCCAGGGGTATTATGAGTTAGGCTGTCTGACATGCAGCAACACATTTGTTTCTCTATTTCTCTATTATCTTCTTCCTAAAACTGAAGCTTGCCACTATTTTTCCTTCTGTAGTGTACAGCACTGAAATTCATTTTCCTCTTTGAAGCAGGCTATTTTTGCACTATTACTGTCAGTATGTCTGGTCCTGTATGTTTACAGTATAAACAATAGTGTACACATGAATTATTCTGCCTCTTAAAATAATTTCCCACATAGCTTTTACAGTTATCATCATGTAAATATACTTTTTTTAGTTGCACTATCCTGAAATGACAATGATGTGTTCAGTTGTACACAAGCACATCAAAACAACGTGTAACAACTTGTAACTTCAATTTCAGGAAGTTCATTCCAATGAGAATCATTCAGAGCTGGGAATATGTTCAGACCTGTTTTGTCTCTACTGGTATTCAGCAGAGGCACAAACTCCCACTCTCAAACCCCCTGGACTTTGTAATTCAAGATGGCTTTATTTGTGTGTTTGAACCATGAATGTATCGCTTGAACTAAATTAGAGGCATTTAACCAAAAAAATATATTTTTTTAAAAACCCACTGTTGATGAGAACCAGAGCTGCATTCCTGCAGCACTCTATATGGTGGCCCCATGGACTGTATAAAATATGGATGTCCTCTCTGTGATGCCACCCCATTTCTAAAGAGCCAGTGTCAATGTTTCCTCCTCAGATCCTTGACCACTACCCAGTCTCCAGGCTGGGTGTTGTGCAGTTGTTCAGATGTAGAATCAGGAAGGGCAGCTTTTACCTTAGGGAAGCTTCAGGGCATGGTTAAGTGCACAACAGTATGTTACTATGTCATCATCCATTCCAGTTAGGGTGATGCTGAATGAGGGCTGGTTGCTGAAAGCAGCCATGGTGACAGCACCCACCTGTCACTCAAAGCGGGCGCATCCTTATATAGTCATAGTTTATGTGATGCTGTATGTGTGTTTTTAGAAGGACAAAAATCAGGCAGATATTGTATTTGTATTTTGTGTAATGACTTTTAAGGTATGGTAATGTACCACAGCTCTTACCACATACTGTATTTTCTTCCCCCAGGCATTATGATAAAATATTACAAACACTGATAATCTAAATCAATAGCAAAATACCACATAACAATTTTTACTTTCAAAGTATCAGATTGACAATGAAAGCAAGTAATAGTTCTCAAAATGTTGACTGACTTGCTGCTTGTTATGCATGCAAGTCTCAACAATGCACTGAAGTTAGCAATGAAGGAAACATAAAGTTAGGTCAGATCAGGTCATGTGAGCTTTATCTATAAAGCACGTCCCTCGCTGGCCAGTGCGCGGAGAGCTAAAATCACTATAAAAGCTTCCTCTTGATTCCCCTGAGCAATGAAAACACACAAGTTAATCTAGAAATACAGGTACATTCCTGAGGGGAACATAACAGGAAGAAGCTTAACACAATAAAAAGAAGTATTAACAATAAGCATTAGGATTAACAGCCTAATGAGTTGTGTGATGTCTTTACAGCAGTGCACCAACCCGTGCTGCAACGCCACCACCTGCACCCTGAGTGAGGGCTCTCAGTGTGCTGAAGGCGAGTGCTGTGACAACTGTAAGGTGAGTAAATATGTATGAATAAATGCTGAACTCGCTGCAATGCATAAAGGTTTATTTCTTGATGAACTCTTTATTTAATTATTTGATCTGCTACAGTCCTCTAGTGGGCATGTAAGGTATTACAAACATTTGAATTTACTCTCTCACTCCCTTTCCACTCAAAAGTGTTTTGCTAATTGTTACTTGGTTTGGATGTTTGAGTCTCACTGTGCAGGATAATGTGTGTGCAGAGTTTGACACCAGGAGGATGTTTGACATTCACCTGCTGACAGAGGAAGGTTTCTCTGTGCTCACCTTAAATCTCATTTTGTTATGTGTCCATACAGTACTAGCAGGACTTTGTGACATCCCAAATAGTCTGAATCATGGTTCAGTATTTAGTAGTTTACATAACAGCACATACACTGAGAGTGGACTTGAAAAATTATTATTCCAAGCAGAGTCTTAGTATAGTACTGAAAAAATGGACGATCCCCCCAGAAATGACCAAATACAGAGCTACCAGCTCAAAGTCATCAGGTAGACACAAAACTTTTTCTGCCAAGCGGCCAGAAAGTGTAATTTCAGAGATTTTCCCAAAAGCAATGTCATACTACTTCATATGATATATTTTATATATTTTCCCCAAAAACGCTGTTAACTGGGTTAAATAAAATGGTGACTAATACGCCACCACAACCTAGGCAAAGCAAGGCATTGCACAATTCTCACACTGAGGCAGTTCCATAATGCTTGTAAAGTCATCTCTCACATGATATATAATCATGTGAGTGACTAATAATAATGTAATCGTGATGTGACTCCCACCTCTACAGATCTTGCCCCGGTCCAAGGAGTGCCGCAGGAAGCAGGATGATTGTGATCTGGCAGAGTACTGTGATGGGCAGAGCACCACCTGTCCTGAGGATGTCTTTGCTGTGAATGGCCTCCCCTGTGACGGGGGCCAGGGATACTGCTACAACGGCCAGTGTCCACAGAGAGCAAACCAGTGTGTCAAGATGTATGGAACAAGTGAGTGTCCATGTTTTGTGACATTTTATATTACATTGGTAAGGAGATTATTGATTAGGATAACCTTCCTGCTGTCTAAAAAGACCCTGAATACGTTTGAAAGGCTATATTCTGATGTAATCCTCTCCTGTCATCAGGCGCTGTAGAGGCCGGTCTGAACTGCTACAGCCAGAACACCAGAGGAACCTATTACGCCTTCTGTAAACGTCCCTCAAACGACATGTACATCCCTTGCCAGAAAGAGTGAGTCACAGTTACATACAGAGCAGTAGGGCAGTCTGCAGTGGAGTGAATATTTGCAGAATAAGTTGGAATATTGGCTCTTGACCTTTTCTTCCTTTGCAGGGACGTGTATTGTGGGAAGCTCTTCTGCCACAGCAGTCAAGAAAACCCAAACTACGGCCGCATGGTCAAGTTCGGTGAGTGCAAGGCAGCTTTCTTCAGTGACTACATCACCGACTACGGCCAGGTGGACGCTGGGACCAAATGTGGGGACGGAAAGGTAACTGTGTAGGGTAACTCCTAGTTCCATCACAATGTCACCTCAACATCCACCTGTTTGAATGTGGCAGCACTAAATCTACAATGTGCATCAAAATAAACAATGTGTTTGTCACTGACTTGTTTTTTGTTTTTTCAAGGTGTGCAGCCAGAATGAGTGTATGGATCTTGAGACAGCTTTCAGAAATACAAACTGTTCAGCAAAATGCCCAGGCCATGCTGTAAGTACATACCAACACTGCTCAGAGTTTATGATTTTGTTATTTTGGTAGAGCCCGGCCGCCATTATGGCGACCAATATAGTAAATGTTAGAGCTTTTTGCACTGATACAACTCTGCAAAGGTACTCAGAAGGCTGCTTTCTTAAACAAATAACTTTATTAAACAATATTAAAGGTAATTTTCCTTTAACATGTTAAATAATTATACAATATCAACCAATTCTAGCTGACATTGGTGAGAGCTGCAAGGTCACTGACCTTATTCTCTTTCTCTGTCCTGTTTGCCACAGTATTGTAAATCACAGCGCACTCTGCTGGATAAACTTTGCAGTGACACCAATATATTACCACAAGCATTTTTCCTGCATTATATACCCATATGAGGTACCATATAGATAGCATCGGCCAACTGATGTATAGTTCAGGCTCTATATTAAGGTAACAAAAGTAAAACAACCCATGTTAAGTATATATTTATATTGGAAATAGTAAGAACAAGAGCAGAGCTGAGTGTTTGATCTAAATGTAGCAAGTCAGGCAAATCTTCTGTGTGAAGGAAATATCTTAATAAAGTGGAAGCAGTGGCAGTTTAAACAGTATTGCAATAGGTGAGCTGAATTAACAGGGTACTGCATGGTGCCGTTAAACCAAACATCTGATAATCACAGGACGTTTGTGTTCTTCAGGTTTGCAATCACAAGAGTGAATGTCAGTGTGAGCCTGGTTGGATGCCTCCTTCCTGCGATTTGGAGGATGGATCTTTCGGGTCCCTTTCTAATGGTAAGACTTGCCTACAGTTGCTGGTAAACACATACAGTATGATGCTAATATATTCAGTCTGCATCAGTGATGTTGCACTGCTGCATCTGAATGTCTGTTTCATTTCTGCAGGAGCAGCTGTTGCCATCGCATTGGCAGTCATACTAGTGGTTTCAGGTATCATTGCTGGTGTCGTTGGGTTCATCTGGAAAAAACGACAAAGCCCCATATTGCCAACGTAAGTCTTTATCACCCTGCAGGTCTTGGCGTGGCTATGCTAATATAAACTCACTTCTGTAAACATTTAGAGCAGCAGATCAAATCTCTCTTTATGTAACAGTGCACACACCCAAAGGAAGCAGCCAGCCGTGGGCCGATCCGCTCACCACATAAACAAAGGGCCAGCTCCTAGTCAACCCAAGCCAGTGCCACAGGTAATGTGCTGGAATGTACAGTATTACAGGTGTCGAGTTGAGATATGTCATATAACTTATTCAGACAGTTCCTAACAATACTTACATTTTTAGGTTGGAAGGCCAAAGCCCAAAGGAGCTCCACCTCCACCGCCTCCAGCAGGGAACAGACCTAAACCCCCGAGCCAGAACTACATAGCTGCACGCCAGGTAACTCCGATTCCTTTCAAGTGTTTACCTGCCACATTACACACAGCTCATAGTTCTCTGACACTGTATTAAACTTCCTCACTAGGAAAAGTATAATCTGGTAAGAATAATACCATTCAAACTGGCACCAACTGGGATGAATAACTTCAATCTTAGTTTGCTTTCATGTAAACTACCAATCTGCTAGGTGTGAAAACTCAATCTAAACCAGTTGGTTTGCAACCTTTTTGATGTCAAGGACCGATATTTGATAAGAGGTAGTCTCAGGAATCCCCATCTGATAAGATTTAGTTATTCCAAAACTGTCTGTACTGTAGATTGTCAGATTAACAGTGAAGAGTGTGAAACCTCTTGAGTGTGAAACATTCTTATACATTCTCTCATTGGGCCAATGTTTAGTAAAAATAGTGAAATTAAAATATTCCCCATTCTTCTGGGGATCCCTGGACCTGTGGTTGAGAACCACTGGTCTAAACCAACTACAGTGCAAGAAGAGCTGATGCTATGACGGCTATTCTTCCATGTTTTAGTAACTAATGTTAAAGCCACAGAAGAAAAATTATCTCTATCATCTTGGATGACAAGACTGTGTCCAAAATCCTAAATTATTTAATCATAACATAAAAAAAATTTTTTTTCACTTAGTTTTAAAGGAAAAAAAACCCAGCTGGGCATAAAACATGCAACCTACAGTTTTTTGTACAACTGTTGGACATTTTGGGAAATAACGCTTATTCGCTTTTTTGTCGAGTTAGATGCAAACTATCATATCTGAATGCTCAATGTGAGGCTACAGGCAGCAGCTAGCTAAGTTTAGCATCAGGACTGGAAACAGGATGAAACAAATTAGAAATAGAGTTTTCATTATTGAGCTTTAGAGGTGCTGACAGGCATATTATGTTACCTTCGGACAGGGCCAAGCTAGCTCTTTCCCACTACTTCCTATCTTTATGCTAAGCTAAGCTAACAGGCTGCTGACTGTACATATTTAGCATGCAGACATGAGTCGTATCAATCTTCTCATCTTACTCTAGGCAAGAAAGCTAGTAAGCTTATTTCAGTACAACTATTCCTCAATATGTAGTCAACAAATGCATTTGTTTTTGATTTGTCCTCCAGGCTCTGAGGCCAGTGCCTCCACCAAAGGTGTGACGTCTGATACAGTGCCACCCATCAGTAAACCTGGGGAGACTGTCCTTTGTCCACTGTCCCTGAAGAGAGGCTGCAGGCAATCCAGAGAAGCAGAAATTACACAACAGTTCCCTCTGCAGTCTCTTTTTCACTGCAGTGCTGACTGAAGGCTGGTGGAGGTTTTGTTTGTTACTTGCTTGCCATGCACTGATGACTTGTAATTACAGGAATGAACCTTTTGTTTTTCAAAGCACTTTTTTTACCCTATAGGGTTCGTATAACTATAAACAGCTCTGGCCCTAAATGTAAACCATATCATTTTCTACATGTTATTTTGTCACAGTAATGTTACAGAATATTGCACAAGACTGAATTTTTAAACCTCAAAAACAAAACTGAACGGCTCTGATTGAAGCAGCAACAAGGATCTTTCATTTTGTGTTGATTCTGGCGGCCCCTGTGGTCAAAAGTGGTAGTGTTTCCAACGCCTCTGATTTCAAGGGGAATCCGACCCTGTGGCAGGCCGATTTTCTTGCTGATGTCTTGCTCGAAACAAACGCTGATTAGGACTGCATTTACCCCGCCACTCTAATGTTATATAATATGTACAGCGTAGTTTTAATGAAATCTCACAGCAATGCCTTTATTAAAAATACAGTAAAAGGAGAGGATGCCAGAAAGGACCAGATTAATGCTGGTGACTTGTAGTTTATGTTTATAAGATACAGTGGGTCTACCAGGTTTTAGGGCACTTTTAGGAGCTCCTGATTAGGAGCCCATATTTAATGCTCAACTAAAAGCAGGTACAGTGGAAAGGCTGGCCATTCAAGTGTATATACCATATTTTACACACGTAGATAGAATTCAGTTTTTAAAACAAATGTACAGCATGTTGTCTAAAGGTTCAAGATCAAGGTAATTTCCAATTAAACAAAATGTTGTACCTTATTATAATTAATACTAATTTGGTGTATGTAAATAGATTTTTGCACACTTGCACACGTCATATTGCTGCTTGTCTACGTTTACTATGTGAACAGATACATGGTGTATTAAATATCTTGTGAGCAGTACTGAGCATGGTGTTTTTAAAAGAACAATGTTGCAGCTGAAATGTTTTGGCATTATTAACCAAAACCCTGTAACTAGTGAGCAGCGAGGACACCAGGCAGCAAAGGTTTCAGTGACCATAAGTCTCAACTACGCCAGTATCTGAAAAAACAGAACACTATGTTCCTGTCATGTGCTGTATTATAGGAGGCCGTAACCCAGCTGGTAGTAATCTTGATGTTAGACTGAATATTACTCTTCTCCACTTTACCAGCATGGCACTAACCTCAGACTTTCCTAGTGAAGAGGTTGGGGTTGTACTGGGCAGCTGCAAGCCAGGATGTCTATGATGTGTTATTGATATTCATGTGAATTAATAACAGACAAATAAACTTTTTTTGTACAAATGAATTGTGTGTAAACTCACCCCAAAATCTTATATTTTTAAAGCTGCACTTAGAAATAGTTTTATGAAAAAATGTGTCTTATCTTAAAGCTACATTAAGATTTTTGTTTATGTTTTGTCCTCTTGGGGGCAGCGAAGCAACCTGTAAACTAAACACTGTCATACAGTAGTATCACCTTATAAAGAAACCATCAAACCTCTGGAGCCACAAACTTTTAAAGTTACCTGATGTAGCTTTAATGCTTTTAACTTTTATATAAAAAAAACACAACTTTTTAGAAAGATAGTTGATCCTTTAGTCTACTTTCCAGGTCATCAAATACTGATGTTTTTGGTCAAATACAGACACTTTGGATCCTATGTGTGAAATAACAAGAACCAATACTCAAGACGAGTCAAATAAAACACTGTATTTGAATTTTATTCTTTTCTTTCAAGTGATACATCTACATAAAAGATTTCATGGCCTTGCATGACAAGTACGGTACAGATTTTTATTTTTTTTTTTACCCCTTTTTACAGCTATTATAAGATTCTTGATGAGCAATATTTTTTACATTCTGCGAGATATGTATAGGACCTAACAGGAGGTCAGTATACTGTATGGCTCACCCAATAAAGCCTTACCTTTTAAAACAAATTTCGACATCACAGTTATGAATGTAAACCAAAATACTTTATGTTTAGGAAGTTTCCCCAGAAGTCTACTGAACATAACGGCAAACAACAATATCTTGAAAATTTTAAGGATATCAAGATTAATATTACCGACATTTAATCTTTAAACGTGTGATTGAAAGTCTCCTGACTTGACTCCGTTCACCATCCATGCACACACGCACACATACAGATCTTGACATGTGTGGCCGAGGTGGCATGGCACATGAGCGCAAAAGCCTAGTTTAAAAAAAAGACAAAAAAAGGGTATATTAACAAGAAAATAATAATGTTAAAGCTTACCCCCCCCCCTTCCTTGAGCAACAAAGACGACAGAATTACAGTCAGGTGTGTCGAAGCACCAGTAGAGTTGGTCGTGTAAAAGCAGGTCTTAAAGGGTTGGGAGTGCCTGTGAAGAGGAGTGGAGGTGCTGAGACCAGAAAGAGAGCTGAATACTTGAGAGCAGAACACATTCGCACACCAGCAATCTCAGCAAGTGTTAATGGTCTTCATCTTAGTATGACCAGGAGTTAAAATAATAAAAATAAAAATAATATACTGTATATATGAGTCAGCCATGGTTGAGATGATTACAGTACTGTTAGGCCTTGATAGACAGCTGCTAGTGTGGCGGCGGTACCTTTTATAGTATCATCCCCGCTGAGGGGGATGACTCAGTCCATTGTGTCCGGGTACAGCAACTTTGTGCTGTCGTTTCACTGAATGTCAAATGTTTCCCTTATTTGATACGCACGGTTATCACAATTCGAAAAAAAAAAAAGAAGAAAAAAAACATCTGCATTCTGTATAATCAACAGTAGATGGAGACACTAATACAGCTTTAGAAACAAAGGAAAGCCCCCCAAAAGCACACCCCGTATTTCTTAGTGTTGACAATAAAACATCAAATCAAACTGCCATAATTCTGTTAAATACACTGAAATTTCCTAAGCAATAATGAACATCAACAGTCTGTTTCGAGGACAGTATGGCCAGCAGTTCCTCTGCTTTCTGAGCAAACATGTCCCCTTTTGTCCAAAATGACACCTGAAGAGAAAAACTTCAGCGTCAGTCGGTTTCCGGTGCCGTAGTCTTCAAGCACAGTGCTCAACCTCCGGAGAGGTTGGCTCAAATTCAGGGCTTGAGAAGAAGAAAGAATTGCTTCCAACCTGGATGTTGGGAGTACTGACGTGTGGTTGTGGTGACAGAATAAGACATGCTGCACTGTATGTCCCTTATTTGGTTTAGCGGAGCGAGAACGCCTAGTTGCCATCAAGTGAACACAAATCATAACCAGCACAGAACAGCCAGCAACAGCAACTATCATTGCACACAAAGCATTAATCCTTCACTTGAACCGTTTCATTCACAAATAACACAGGAAGGAATTGTTACTCTGGAAGTGAACAAAAATCAAAGCTTTGTGGAAAATGTATAAATAAGACTATAAGTCTTCATTTAATTCCTGCTTTAAGTAGAAAATATTAATTTGTAATAATTGTTCTAATAATAATTGACTTCCCTTATTTTGAATTCGCCTCAATACATACATAATTTATCCTTCAGCTGACACACATAAGCAAACACTGCACTGTATGTAGAACCCCAAGTGCCGAGGCTGTTGAGGCTATAGTATTTGTACTTCAAATCCCTCTTACCAAACACATTGAGAACAACAATAATAAAATAAAAAAATCCTTAAAGTGACTAAAAGTCCTGGATAATAAGGGCTTCATCTAACTGTATCGACTCAAATTTATAAAATTCTCTCTTTTTTTATAATTTTGACATGTATAAGTTAGGACTTCAGTGTACAGTATACATTTGAACTGCAAAATGTCTTCATTCAATTCTTTGTTGCTATTACACAATATATCTAATATGTTTCATCTTTAATAAATAAGATTAGATTTTTTCCCAGATAACATCATATGTTTGTCTTTTTTCAGCAGCTGGAAGATTTTTCCCAGCGATGTGGCCTTCTTTTGTTTGTGTCCGCTTCCTTTCCCCGCCTGATTGTGGGTGAGCAGAAGATGGACAGGCAGTTTCAGTACAGGAGACAGATGGAGAGAGAGAGACAGAAAGAGAGAAAGAGAGAGAAAGTGGCTTGGGGCTATGAGTCAGGGGGTGTGGGTTGTGTGAAGATTGGGAGGGTGGGGTTTCTGTTGCCTATCCATCAGTGCCATTCTTGTTGGGGGTGTTGGTGTTGATTGTGGTGCTGTCTTGCTGCTGGCCATCTTTGCGAGGCGGCATCCTCTCGTTTATCCTGTCCAACCCACGTGCCTCCTCAAAGTTCCGAATCTTCCTCGTGGGAGAGAAACCTTGAATGGCTGGAGGGCAGAGAAGACACCAAAGAGAAGATTATCAGATGCTGGAAACCCTTGAGTAATTTTCCTACTACTGTTGCTGCAAATATTTGCTGTAAATAATATGTTTTAGCTTTTTCAACAGCCTCAATCAAACTGGATTCCATGTGGAATTTTATTTGATAAGCACAAACACAGTGTCAGCCTAGCACAGTACAGATGTTCAGTGAATACAACACATGCACAGGTAAACAATGACTCCTAGTCTTCAAACACCAGTGGGACAAGCTACAACAATGAAACACCTCACACTTTGTAGACTTACGGTAACGTCCCGGAACAGCCAAGGAAACCAGACAGAAAACGTGTGCAAATGAAAAGCAAACTTGTAAGGGACTGTTCAGACATAGTCATATCAGTTATCAAGTTACACAGAGAATGAACACTCTAATGTGATGGTTTTGTAGGTGGCCATAGAAACAGGTCTGCATGGGTACTCTTGCACTACCACATATCTGTGACAATGAAGCACTTGAGCTCATTTGAATTAACCATATTTTAAGGCAGTGGTTCCTAACCAGGGGCATGTGTTCTGCAGGGGGTACTACTGCAAATGTAGCTGCTCACTAATTTGAAAATAAATAATCACTTAAGTTAAATAAAAATTGCTTAAGTTAGCCAAAAGTAATGGTTTAAATAGTTTGTTAAAATGACTAAAGTAGTTAATTTAAATAGTTGTCAAATGGTTTATCTTACTTCTTCATCTAAAAACAATGTTTAAACAGCTGAAATAATTTGAAAGGAAGATAAACAGCTAAAATAGTTATAAGCAATGGGTGACAGTCTAAATAATAAACTAAAAAAAAAATGGATAAAGTTGAAATAATTATCTAAAATAATGGATAACAGCTGAAATAATTTTACTTAAAAGTTTAAGGAATAACAGTGAATATAGCAAAAAGTAAATGGATAACATTTGAAAATATAGCTTATATAATGAATAACAGTTGAAATATTTTAGCTAAAAGTAATGGATAACAGTTGAGATAATTATCTAAAAGTAGTGGTAGTAGTGTGAATAATACTGACAATTCAATTGTTTGAAAAAACACTAACAAAACCCACTTAAATCAACTGAAATGAACCCATTTGGAGCATGAGGGGTGGGGTCGTATCTGATAGGGATGTGCGGGTAGACATGTGGTTGGGAACCACATACTGTAAGTTATGCTGCCTGAATGCACTGCCCCTAAAATTTGCTAGATAGATTTTATAGATTTTATATGTTTAATCAAACAAGTCATTCTCATAGCTGAGGCCTGTTGAACCACTAACTGCCACTATCAACCAGAAGGGGCAGACAGTGTCGCAACAACCAAATAGTGTAACAGGATTAGCTTCTGAAAATATCCCAGGCAGGGATGTCCCTGGTCTTATCTTAGCCAGGTCTTAGCAGGCTTTTCTCTGTGTGGGGAGCCACACTTCACCAATGTGACCACAGCCTGGAAACCATTATCAACAGGGGACAAGCCAGGTCCTAAACCTGGTACACATAACCAAACTTTTTGTAGCATGGGCTTTATGTTTCTGATTTACACTGACAGGCCTGATTCAACAAAGGCTGGTAAAAATAATCTTGTTCAATAATACTTCTTTAAATGCATGATGCAAGCTTCTGTTCATCTTTTATTGCTTGACTGCAAGTTAAAAGTTCTACATAAACTACTAACTTACACTAATGGAACCACTGTGATGAAACAGACATTGATAATGCAAGAGCAACCAACAATAAAGTAATATACAGCAATATAATAGTGATATAAAAACAGTGGGGGCACTAAAAGAACAATCAAACAAACGAAAATTTGAAGGGTGGGGCTGTGTTTAAAGGGTGAACAACACACACAAAACAAAGACATGAGATTTGACCCACAAAGCCATGCGTACCTTTTGCTTTAGCTGCCTCAACCGTAGCTATGTTAATGAAAGTTGAGGAAGGGGAAAAAAAAGGGAGTCATCAAAGGCAGCCAGACATAGCAAATACAACAGTAGTATCAGACTGTAAACCCTGGTGTGATAAACAGAATATAGGCCAACACCTATGGCACAGTCATTATGTATGCAAAATTCATAGCATCTGTAAAAACTTCAGCAAAAAACTAAAAAACTTTAGTTAGTGGGTGGGAAGGTTAGAAAGAAGAAGTCTGTTGGAGATTTTTAAGATGGTGCTGGTGTTAAAGGGTCATGAGGATTTAGGTATGAAGAGCTGAGGGGGGATTTGGCTGAGCACTAAGAGTCTAAGACCGGGGCGAGATGCGCAACAGTGACAAGGCAGGACGACACATTTGTACAGCGCAGCCTTACAGGAAGGTAAAGCTGCAGTACAGATGCAATCAGAAATATTCTTTCAGACACACACTCATTTAGTCAAAAGACAAACGTATAAACAGCTTAATCCAAAATGTATAGTAGAATTTAGAAATACTCAGTACTGAACTTTGATTGATTGGTGATTAATATTTGCCCTTTAAAATAGATGTTTGGCATGTTGGAACTCTTCATATTTGATTACCCAAACAGTCACATTCACTTGTTATTGCATGTGCAGGTGCGAGAATATTTGAATCATCTAATTTGATCTCTAAATGAAGACAATGGCATGAAATATCACTTCTCAGAGAAATGATTTTGTAGTCCAGATGAATGAGAGCTGGCTGGTGAATTGTAATCACAACCATTTTTCCTCTTCAGCAGTGCATTATGGGGTACTTTGTTAGTGGTGACAACTTCTGGTTGTCAGCACTGAAAACATTTCTGGTTGTCAGCATGACTATACTGAATACTGAATCTTTAATGTCCTCAGAAACAGGTTAATTAATGTCAAAAACTACAGGCAGGAAAAACAATGGATACAAAAAACAACAACATCATACACATTTGTGTTGTTCAAAGCGGCCTAGCTGATCTGGAAGCTGTGGCTGGGGGAGCGGACATGGACAATGACATTCTCCAAAAAGGTCACCAACATGTGGTTTCTCCTTCGATTGCTCCGCAACTTCTGTAAGCCTTCAGTGTGGCTAAGCGTGACTCCCAGCATGTCCTCTGGCGGGTGAGGCCAGGCACTGACCTTTAGATCAGAGGGTCAGCAGCCACTTCCAGGTGACAGGAGCACCCCCCCCGACCAGCCAGCCCCACAGCTGAGCCCGAAAACTTTCTGTTGCATGGTGGGGGCTCGAGTCAAAGTCTAGCCAGCGCTTCCTGTGGTGAGCATGCCGTTATTGATCTAGAACCCTTCAAAGGGACTAGCAGGACAGGGAAGCTAGCCTCCCTAAACTGGACGTCAGTGTAGACAGTTTTAGCTCCAGCATCACCAGTGGATCAGGGATCATTTAAGGTAAAGGCAATGCTTGATGGTTGTACACCAATAGATATCATCATATTCAGATGCTATTTCCCTGTATTACTTGGATACAGTTCATCTACTTTTGGCAAGTTCTTTGCATGAATAAGAAACAAACAAAACTTACCTAACACTTTGTCAACAGGTACAGTAAATATGAGCTGGCGCTAGCAGCAGCTTAGCATAGAGCCTATAAAACAGCTAGCCAGGCTCTGCTCAAAGGCAACCAGCAGAGATTTCCAAGAAACAGTCTGGCACATAATATCAAAAATTGTTGTTTTTACACTTTGGTTTTTGTATGTACTATACCAATGAGATATAAAGTGAGTTAAGGTGAGATTTACAGGTGCTGGTAGGAAGAGGTTTCCCCATTTCCAGTCTTTATGCTAAGCTAAGCTCACTGGGTACTGGCTCCAGCTACATTTTTACTGTACAGACGTATAAACTCTTTTAACTCTGCAAATAAGTGCATTTTATGACACACACATTGTCTCACAAACATAACATTTTTCATTAGGTATAAATAATGCAGGAAAAGGTGTTATAGTGTTTTTAGATATAACTAATATGTTGTGTATTTTTCTAGTGCTAAGAAGAAGTAACACCACTTCTTTCCAAAAAGAAAAGTAAAAAAGTAATTTTACACAGTAATATTTTGCACCTTCATATAGGATTATAGTGGAAACACTTTAACATAATCATATATATGTACATACAGAAGGCTTTGATTACTAGGGGTTTCTTGGCCCCACAAAATGGTAAAGGAATCAATGTATGAAACAGTTGCAGAATATAAACAATGTTTGGTGTTCAAACTGTAACGTAGTAAAACAACAATACACTATAAACTGACAATATAAGCTGACATAAAATACTCAAAGTATTTAAGTATTGTATTCAATTCAATTCAATTCAATTCAATTCAATGATATATTTGTCAAATGTACTATTGTCCCCAAGGGTGTAGGTTATGCTAAATAGCAGTTAAAAAGGAAGAATCATAAAATGCGGTTATTGAGTATAAACCACACTTACCAGTCTGTAAGGTCTGCTTCCCCCCTGACAACACTCCCACAGGAAGAGTTCCAGTTGGGGTCAAGCCTTTGAGTGTTAACACATTCTCGCTTTCCTCCCTAGTCCACAAACAAAACACAGGCACACACACTGATTACATTTCAGGAAGCAGGGTGGCAGCACGCACACCTAGTGGTAAAGAGGCTGTTCTGTAACCAAAAGGTCACAAGTTCAATCATTACTGGCTATTTAACCTGTGCCCACGCACTGTCCTGACAGAGTGGTAGACGGTCAGCTCTAAACGCCTGCAGCCAAACTGTTAACATGTGTCCTAGTTCTGTAAGTGGGTCAGTGACAACTCAATTTTAGCAGCTCAAGCAATATTTCTAAATATTGCTTACAAGTGTTAAAATATGTTTTATTATCCACCTTTTTCTCCTCCACCGTAACAACTGAAATGAGACTTTTGCCTACTTTTAAAATGTAAACTTATAATTATTATATTCATCCTGCAAAGGAATTT